CGAGTCTGGGAATGGGGTACACAGGCACTCAGGACTGGGGTCAGGAGCCCCGAGTCTGGGAAGGGGGTATGCAGGCACTCAGGACTGGAGTCAGGAGCCCCAAGTCTGGGGATGGGGTGTGCAGGCACTCAGGACCGGGGTCAGAAGCCCTGAGTCTGGGAATGGGGTACGCAGGCATTCAGGACTGGGGTCAGGAGCCCCGAGTCTGGGAATGGGGAAAGCAGGCACTCAGGACTGGGGTCAGGAGCCCCAAGTCTGGGGATGGGGTGTGCAGGCACTCAGGACCGGGGTCAGAAGCCCTGAGTCTGGGGATAGGGTGTGCAGGCACTCAGGACTGGGATCAGGAGCCCCGAGTCTGGGAATGAGGTATGCAGGCACGCAGGACTGGGGTCAGGAGCCCCGAGTCTGGGGATGGGGTGCATAAGCACTCAGGGCCGGGGTCAGGAGCCCCGAGTCTGGGGATGGGGTACGCAGGCACTCAGGACTGGGGTCAGGAGCCCCAAGTCTGGGGATGGGGTGCACAAGCACTCAGGACCGGGGTCAGGAGCTCCGAGTCTGAGAATGGGGTATGCAGACACTCAGGACCAGGGTCAGGAGCTCCAAGTCTGGGGATGGCGTATGCAGGCACTCAGGGCCGGGGTCAGGAGCCCTGATTCTGGGGATGGGGTACACAGGCACTCAGGGCCAGGGTCAGGAGCTCCGAGTCTGGGGTTGGGATACGCAGGCACTCAGGACCAGGGTCAGGAGCCCTGAGTCTGGGGCTGGGGTACGCAGGCACTCAGGACCAGGGTCAGGAGCTCTGAGCCTGGGGCTGGGGTACACAGGCACTCAGGACAGGTGTCAGGAGCTCTGAGTCTGGGGATGGGGTATGCAGGGACTCAGGACCGGGGTCAGGAGCCCCGAGTCTGGGGATGGGGTACACAGGGACTCAGAGCCAGGGTCAGGAGCTCCAAGTCTGGGGATGGGGTGCACAGGGACTCAGGACCGGGGTCAAAGCCCTGAGTCTGGGGATGGGGTATGCAGGCACTCAGGACCAGGGTCAGGAGCCCTGAGTCTGGGGATGGGGTATGCAGGCACTCAGGGCCAGGGTCAGGAGCCCCAAGTCTGGGGATGGGGTATGCAGGCACTCAGAGCCAGGGTCAGGATCTCCGAGTCTGGGGGTGGGGTACACAGGCACTCAGGGCCGGGGTCAGGAGCCTGGCGCACATCTAGGTCTCTTCCTGGGATTTGGATAGGTGGATGCTCTGAGCAGCACCAGGGGTCTCTCCTTCTGGTGGGCTACAGGGCCTGACTGGAAGAGACAGACCTCAAGTGTCTGAGTTTGGGGAAAGCATTTTGGTGTCAGACTGGCTGAAGCAGGGGAGCCAAAGAGGACAGGGCCAGTGCTGGCCAGTGTCTCTGAAGTCCCCAAGTCCCTGGTACAGGTGGCCTTGCCCACAGGCTGCCTGCAGCTCTATAATTGACTTGCTCTTAAAGGGAGGGAGTCTTGTGGCCTCTACCTCTAGACAGATGGACTGGCCACCCAGGAGAAGCCCCAGAAAAGGGTTCCTCTGAGAGCCTTGCAGACACTGGGGTAGGACAGGACCACCTGTCTCCTATTGCCTCGGGGATATAAACGTTCAGTACAGGATGTGCAGGACCTGGACGTGCCAGTGCACAGGTGCTGGGAGATAACCCTAGCCCCAGCCGGGGTTCCAGATGTTCCTCTTATTCTGGGAGGTTCTTCTGGCAGTCATGGTTCTGATTTTAACACCAGAAAATTGTAGGAAGTTGCCAGAACTTCAAGCCCCTAGGTGGGCTGTCTTAAGGATGCTCAGGTTTCCATGGTCAATGGAGAGACCACACACATTACCACATCACATCCAAGTGGGGTTTCCTCCAGGGGAAAGGGAGGGACTCAATCTGGGGAAACAGATTTTTCAATCTTGCCAGTTGAAGAAAGAAAACAGCATGAATTTCTGGGATGCCAAAATATTTTAACAAAATTCAGCCACCGATGAGATGGGTGATAGATGGCCACACATGTCTGGAAAGAGCCCCCTCAGGTATGATGACAGGGGTGATGCTGGCTGCCATGGAGGGAGCTGAGCAGGGGCTGGTGCGTCACCATAGCGGGGATCTTGGTGGTCCTAGGACAGTGGCCTATGCAGGAAGGAAAGGCCTCAGTGGAGCCTGCAGGGGCATTGGGGCAGAGGGAATGGAAAGGCAGAGGCAAGAGGTGCTGAGGGGGTGTCTGGACAGGCCCAGGGCAGGGAGAGGTCAGTTCTAAGCCTGGAGGGTGCTTGTGGCAGAGGCAGGACCAGACTTTCAACCCTCCCTGAGCAGTCGGCACCCCTCCTTCTGAGGACAGGTGTTGGGGTGTTAGGCTGGCCTGCCCAACTGCCTGGGGACTGTGGCCCTAGCAGCAGCCTGAAGAATAGCTATGCCCTCCACGCTGTCCACATGGGCCTCCCAGCCCGAGAGCCCAGCCAACCGAATAGGTGGGCAGGAAGTGTCTCAAAGTCATAGGCAGCCAGCCAACTGAATAGGTGGGCAGAAGCATCTCAAAGTCCCAGGCAGCCGGAGACTGGAGCTCAGCCTCCCACCCCCAGATGGCCCCACCTGCAACACCTGGCTGGACACGGCTGGCACTGGACACATCTGGGATCTGGTCTCAGATAGATTGCTTTCTGCTGAAACAGAGAACAGGCATTTCGAGGTAATAATTCCCTTTTCAGGAAGTGCAGGCCAGAGCACTTACAAGTAGATTTTTGAATCAAGTGGTAGCCCTTGTTATCCAAGGTGCCACTGGTGGCTCTTCCTACCCACTTTCCTGTTGTGTCCTCAAATACAGGTCTGCTTGGTGGATGTGCCCCCTGAGATGCTGGCCAGCAACTCTCTGCACACACTCCTCCCCACAATCTGCCACAAACCCTCCTTGGTCTCTGCTCTGGGAACACTTGGAGTCCTCTGTACTTACTCAAACCCTGCCTTCACCTCTAGACTGTAAGCTACATGAGGTGTGGGGCAGGCAGGGCTTCAGAGCCCAAGTGTCTGACTGAGTCTGGCAGTCTGCAGTCTCTGGCTGAGTCTGGCACTCAGCAGTCATCAGGAAATACAAGGGTGTGGAAGGAAGGGAGGGAGGGAGGGAAGGAGGGAGGAAGGAAGGAGAGAAGGAAGGGAGGGAAGGAGGGAACAAGGAAGGGAGGAAGAAAGGAAGGATGGAAGGGAGGGAGGAGAGTATAGGTGAAATGCCTATATGCCTCTGGCCAAAAAGGCCATTTGAGAGAGAGCAGTAAAAAGACTTTGTACAACTATACTTGTAAGAAACTGAGGCAGAATCCCATATGGCCAGGTTGGTTGCAGGCCTAACATGACCAAGGCTTTGGCTGGAATAGCATCTCCAGACTGTGTTGAGGAATTAAGGTTGACTTTATAAGGCCAATAAAAAAGCCCTTTGGAAAACTGGCCAGATACCCATCAGCAACCTCTCCTGATCTGTGATAAGTAACGAAGGTCACTTGCTGATGGGTCTGGGAATGGAAATGTGCTAGGGGACCTCAAGAGAAGAGGAATTTACCCAATGCATATGGGTATCTAATGGCACAGATGAAACCTGGGCTCATGAAAGGCTTTTGAGAAGTCCAGCCTGAGAATTCCTTATAAGAGGCTCCAGCAAAAATCCCTGACTTAAGGCCTACATGGGAGCAGAGGTTTGCACACAAATTCCTGTATGCCTAAGAAGTTTCTTTATGCCTTGCTTAAAAATTCAAAGTAACAGCCTCCAAACAACAAGGTCAGCAAGTGCAGGTATTCAATCTACCTTGTTCCTCCCTAGCCTCAGGCATCATCAGATAAGAACAAAGAAGTAATGGCTAACAGCATGTTCTCCATTAAGATTGGGTTATGTTTGCTCGGAGCCTGTGGCTCCAGCGGCTAAGGCACCAGCCACATATACCTAAGGTGGCAGGTTCAAATCCCCAGCCCGGGCCCACCAAACAACAATGATGGCTGCAACCAAAAAATGGCCAGGCGTTGTGGTGGGCGCCTGTAGTCCCAGCTACTTGGGAGG